TAGAACCAGTCTGTTGATCTTCACAAATAACTTCCTGGGATTTTTGGGGGGATTGCATTGATTCTATAGATCAAGTTGGGAAGAAATGGCTTCTTAAAAATATTGAGTCTTTTGGGGCCACCTGGGGGCGTAGTGGTTAAGTTCACATGCTCTGCTTCAGCAGGCTGGGATTTGTGGTTTCAGATCCAGGGCATGGATCTACACACCACTCATTAACCCATGCTGTGGCAGCCTCCCACGTACAAAAATAGAGGAAGATTGGCACCGATGTTAGCCCAGCCACAATCTTCCTCAAGCAAAAAGAAGAGGATTGGCAACGGATCATAGCTCAGGGCCAATCTTTCTCACCAAAAACCCACAAAAAAATGTTACGTCTAATTCAAGAACATGGAATATCTCTCCATTTCTTTTGATCATCTGTGATTTCTTTATCCAGAATTTTCTAGTTTTCCACATATAAAGCTAACTTTTGTTAGACTTATACCAAAGCATTTCCTTTTTAGTGTGCTATTGTAAATGGTATTGTGATTTAAATTTCAAATTCCAATATTTCATGGCTGATATATAAGTATGACTTTTGTATATTAACCTTGTCTCCCATCACCTTGCTATAATGACTTATTAGTTCCATGAGATTTTTGTTGATTCTTTGGGATTTTCTACATAGACAAAGAACAAAGACAGTTTTATTTCTTCCTTTCTGGTCTATATGCCTTTTATTTCATTTTTTTGCCTCATTGCACTAGCTAGGACTTCAATTGCAATGTTGACCGGGAGTGGAGAGAGGAGTGGTGATTGCCTTGTTCCCAATTGTACAGAGAAAACACTCTCAGTTTCTCACAATTCCCTCCTTTTTCACTAAATTGCACCCTGATTTTTCAGTTTCTTTGTTTCTTTCATCCTCATTTTGCACTTCATCTCAGGCCTGTCATGACAGAAGAGACTGTGGGAATCAGAAAAACTTCCATTTAAATCATGATTTGGGTCTTGTTCAAGTTAATTTAACTCCTTGGCATTTTAGTTTTCTCATTCTAAATTAGGAAAATATTTCCTATGCCCGTGGACTGTTGTGATGATTACTTCGGAAAATGTTTGAAATAAACTTCTTTATTCATTTAACACCTAAATACCTAACTTTGATTTAGGCCCTATGCCAAATGCTTGCAATACAACTGTGAAGAAGACATAGATTTAGCTCTAAGAAATTGTGGAAATAGTAGGAAAAAAAGTCAAGGGAACTGCACATTTTAATAAATAACCATCAGTGCTACGAAAGCTGTAAGTACATATAGTAGATTTTTAATAATTGGAAGTTAGCATCTTTATAATTATTCTTTTTTCAAGTTTATTCCCACTTCTTGAATTGTCAAGAAGAGCTAATGACATTCCTATCTCTTTTCCTATGTATCTTCTTTGCTTCCATTGCATAAAATTAGTACAATTTTCCATTTGATAATCTCTCTAGTTTCTGCATTGTTCTAACTTCTTTCTCCTCTATTCACATATATATCTCAAAAATTTCTACACTTGAGATATATAATGGCCACATTTTTGTTTGATAAGGTATATTTTAGTTCCCATATCATTTATACAGTATAGATATAGAGTATTTCAAATATAATATTCCAGAGGGCATAAGAGATAATATATTGTTATATAAGGCACATTAGGCATTTAAAACAAGCTTTTTTGGGTAACATTAATGCCTTTTATGTAGGGGTACAGCATGTCTTTGTATAATCTAATTTTATTTTGGGCTCCTTCCTTTACATTTTGTAAGGAATAGGAAGATTAAAGAAAGGCTTATTATAAATGTGAGTGTATAGGAGCACTCATCTAGATTTCGTGTTTTAATAAATAAAATAACTGATAATACATTGGTTTCCCAAAGGACAGGGCTTTGTTTCTAGGCAATGCCTTGTGATATTCAAGATGTGTTAACTAAATACATGTTCAGATCAGCTTCCACGTATAGTCTCTGATTGATGAGGTCAGCAGTTGAAACAATTCATTAACATTGCCTGTTTTTTCCTTTTATTTTTGGGCCAGGAGAGGAAACCAGATGTGAAGAGATGGAAAGAGGATAGAGAGCATAGCTAACTCAAACATACAAACAGTTGGGGAGAATATCAGCAAGGTGCCATACTGAAAAACAGTTATTGTCTTTTCATGCTTCCTGCTTCCTGCAGTGACCAATTTAAAATTTTGGTTTTAAAACAGAAAGTAATTTGTCTTACCCATCTCTCCTACCTTTCTTAAACATTAAAATAAGTGCTACTGCTGAGATTTTCAGCAGTTTCTGATGACTCTGTAGTCTCTCCAAACTCCTTTCGTATCAGCAATTTTGTATTTGACTTGGAATATGTTCTAAATATTTTCTACCCAAGATCAGAAGGCAGCCTGGTAGACAATGAGTAAAGGCAGTGCATAAGCCTTTGACAACCCTGGCGTGCTTGCTGCTTCTTCAAAGAAAAGCAGTGTTTCAGCACACACTTGCCTGCTTAATAGAATTTACTCGCCAATTGCCCTCATGGCTAAAGACTGCCATGCAAAATGTTCTAGAAAACGTAGGTGATGCCATTAGCTAATTAAAATGTATTTGCTTTGATAGATTGAAATCTTTATTTTGATACAGTTGATGTAGGTTGTCTGAGCTGACTGCACCACTGGTTTTGATACTATTCTAAGGAATCAAGTATTTATTCCTTTCAGAAAAGGAATTAGGAAAATAGCTCTGCCATCCAAGAGCTTTAGTTTAGTTTGATAGGCAGTATTGTAACAGCACTTGCCTGTCTGTTTTATAAGAATAAACATGTCCATTTAATTGACCAATTCCTGAGTCTGATTCTTCCAGTATTTAAGATATTTTGTAAATTTTGGAAAGTGAAATGGATAAATATTAATTAGATATTTAAGTGACTATTCAGCAAGAATTCCTGTCTAGAATAATAGAGAGTGTGTGTGTATATGGTGTGTGTTAATACTTATTATGTCTACTACATGCCAAAGTCTTTCACAAATATTAACCCTCAAATTACTATGTGTTTTTATGTATCAAATTACTATGTATTATTTTATGACCATTTTATAAATTTGGAAACAGAGACTTACAGGACTTAAGTAATTTGCCAAACTTATTAAGTTGTGGATGTTTGAGTCATTTATGGATTCTCTGACTACAATTCCAATATTGTTTGCAATGTATAGCTTCCCTTTACTTAATACTTTAATGAAAAGTAATAAAATATTAATTAATTTACCAGATTACTCTTGTCCTGTTCAATAAAAGGACATTTCAAAAATATTTATTTTAAATTAGATTTGTATATGTGTAATGCATGTGTTCACCTTCCTTTTTGCTTTTGTACATGCAGGTATGTTTATATTCATAATTTTGCAATACAAATTCTAAAACCCCAAATCTTCTCATGCTTGTGACTCTGCCAATGGGAGGGATATAGCAGTCGGATTATGAATTAAAAAAAATGGAGTTTACTGTATTATTTAATATGAATAGTGTGTTTTATGTTTCAATTTGCTTTGCATAAATTGTAATACATCTATAAATTTATTTGTATAAATATAGTTTTAATGTTGGCTTGAAAACATGATTACATAACAGGTTAAAAGAGTAAAAATTATAAGTAGTTTCAAATAGATCAAATTTCTTAGCATGTGATCTAAAAGAAGAAAATGTATATTATTAAACGCCACTCATTAGCACTAATAGTTTTTTTTAAACTATATCTCAATCTTCAACAAATAAGGCTTATTCTTTAATTCAGAATAAGTAAGAGTCAATAACCTTCAATTTCTGGTATGGTGATCTTGTTCTTTAAACATTATTTTGTTTTTATTTGTGAAAATATAAATACTTGGCTAAGCTAAGGTAGCTTATAACTTTGCCAAAATTATGAGGTTTTATTCTATCCTAAAATATTCAGAAATAGCCACTAGAAGCACATGTTTTTCAAATTTTCTCTTGGTTCATTTAAAATGATATTATATGTTCCACACAGCTCCTCTAAAGCCAGGGAATGAGGGAGAGAATTCATCTATAAGAAAGAGAGCGGTATTTAGATTTGGAAATGGATAATATGGCCAAATGAATTGGGCATTTGTGGGAGATTCAGAGACAAATATCAGATAAATATCTATCACAGGTACAAGGGGAGAAGGGTGGTGTCTTAAAAATTTATGGATAGGCAAAGGTTCAAGAAGGTGAGGTTATAAATAAATGGAGAAGTTTATAAATAAATTGAGAAGGTTATAAATAAAAGCTTTCAATCCTTCAGCATGACTCCAGAATATACATCATGTAGAGAAAATTGCCCTAAAACAGAGTAACATTGATTTTTTATTGAAAATTAAAGGACTAGTCCAAATGTTATTTTTAAGTTTCATATTCCAGTGATTGAATTATTGTCTTCATTGTGGAAGGAAAGAGAGAACTGACGATGGAAATTGATAATCCCATTATCATTATTAGTTAGGTGTAAAATCCATTCTTTTTTCAAACAAGCAATCATTTTGAACCTGGTTTGTTTGCAGTTTAAATCCCAGACATGCACATGAATCATGTATGTGCTGAGCCACAGCAACCTCCAGCTCAGCTCTGAAGCTCCATAAGCAACGTGAGTTGGTAGTGATGGAGATAAGACCTAGGTTGAAAAAGATACTATCTACCATTGACATTGAGTTATTTTTATGTAATCAAAAACTTGTCATTTCTTAGACAACAAAACGCAACGTGAAAGTGAGAAGAAATTTAAAAGTTAAGATTCCAAAATATGTCCAAAAAATCATTGAAAGAAGTTAATAAACAAATTAACCTTTGATTTAAAAACTACCAAATACTCCATTTATTGCAAGCTTTGGAGCCTCTATGCTGTAACAAAATATTTCTTTTGTAAAGAGCAAAAACAAAACCCAAAGGAGAAAAATGGTGTGTAAATATAGTATTAGGAAACACTAACAACTTTTAAACTCATGTCTTTCAGGAAAGAACGGTGACCATTAGAAGACAAACTATAGGAGGATTTGGATTAAGCATTAAGGTAGCCTGTCTTTCCAGTCTGTCCTTACAAAGTCCGTACTGTAATGCCTGCATTTTTGTGTATTTTGATTTGTTTGCTGATTAATAATTAGACATGTAGGCTATATCAAATTGCTCACTATCTGGATTGAGATGTAAAAATTTGCCCATCTTTTGTGCAGGAATTTTAGAAAAATATTTAGGAATTTTACCATACTTGGCATCGAATATAACAACTCATTAATTTCTTTATCTGATTTCATCTAAAATGTCAAATATGGTGTTGTACTGTGCGTTATCTTCCTCTAACCAGGCAGAGTAGAAAATACTGACCTGTAAGTGAATGTAGCAAGAACAAGTTTTACAATAATAAGGTCTGATACTAAGTTAAGTATTACCAATGTTCTATTCATCTTTTTCTTTTGTTTAACTTTTAAGAAATTAGTAAAATCTTGTGTTACAATGCCAAGTATGTAGGATAGATTTCAAGTTTTAACATCTGATTTATTTTAAAAAATGAGCATAATTATTCATTTCCATTTATTATTAAATTTTAAGGGGCTTTTCTTTCCATATATTGTTGACTATTGAAAAAGTACCACGCCTGCAATTTATTATCACTGAAACAAAACAGAAACTTTGAAAGGATGGGAAATTATATAAATATTAGAAATTTGACTTAATGACTATAAACACCCATTAGAAACGTATATCTCTACATAGATAAATAAAATTTAACTTTATCTTGATTGTTGGGTTAGGCATTTTGCTTAGGAGAGTGAAAATCATAAAGCTCAGGTATATATTTCATGAAATTTTAATACAGTCAAGTTATATAAGCTTGGAAAGTGAAACTGTAAATTTGGTGAATATCAGCTCTAGTTGACATTATGAAAGTGACGCACAAAACTCATCGGTGTGGAACAGCACTGTGTTGTCAAGTGATAAGAACATTACTATATAAAATGTTAGTTATAAAATATATTTTTTTACTTTCACTTTATCTGTCATCAACTAAGACCAAAGAGAAGGGCAAAACAGATTATATGATGTGGAAATGATGCCATGGGAATTCCACCATTCAATAGACAAGTTTTTTTGTTCCTATTTTAGTTTTTGTCATGATATTTATTGAGATCGCTTTGAAGGATTTAAGGGTACTACTAAAGATAGTAAAAAGTGTATGAAGAGGGCTGGCCCCGTGGCCGAGTGGTTAAGTTCGCGCGCTCCGCTGCAGGCGGCCCAGTGTTTCGTCGGTTCGAATCCTGGGCGCGGACATGGCACTGCTCGTCAGACCACGCTGAGGCGGCGTCCCACATGCCACAGCTAGAGGAACCCACAACGAAGAATAAACAACTATGTACTGGGGGGCTTTGGGGAGAAAAAGGAAAAAATAAAATCTAAAAAAAAAAAAAAAAAGTGTATGAAGAGTGAACAAAAGCTGAATGTGTACAAGATCCAATATTGAGAGTTGATTGTGTTTGAAATCAGATTTTCACCTACCCTGCACTGACTCTATTTCTGATAGTGGAACTACATTAATTTCCTTCAGGCTGAAAATGTTCTTTTGTGTTTTTCCTTCTATTTCCATTTATAATTTAAACTAGATAATACTAAGTTACTTGTCCTTACTAAAATACCATATTTTAACCTAAACAAATCTTAAAACATCAAGAATTTTGCCAAATGAATTATTTCAGTTTAATATTTTCAGTTTCAATACAACAAAACTCTTATACACATAGTAAATAATTTTCTAAATCAAATAAGTGTGTATTTTCCATTCAAAATATTGGTGACAAAAGTAATATTTGAACTCTGATTGGTGCCATACAAACATCAGTATTTTTATTTAGAATATTACCCATTCATCCCAAAAAGTTTCCTTTTAAGGTTTTCCACTTTGATTTTCTCAACACTTACCTCTGATTTTTGCTTTGGTATTTTTTAAACAATCTTTCGTTCTGTTAGTGTATTTCAAAATATAATTATTAGTTTATTTATTTTAAATAGCAATGTTATAATTACAAATCCTTTTTCCCCTTGCCCTTTCACATGTGAATTGGATAAACTACTATGTTTATCTATTTGTACTATTTGCTTTAGAGCTGAGAATTAAATGCATATAATGAACAGTTTAAGAAATTATTCTAGCCTAAATGTAGAATTAATATTTTAACGTTGATCATTTATTTATTTATTTGTCTACTTATTTATTTGCTTATTTATTTATTGATAGAGCAATTTGAGCCAATACTAAAACTATTCTCATAAATATATAAACATATATTTCATCCTTATTTACTTCAGTTAAATAATCATCGCTGGCTCACACTGGAGGTTTTGTAGTGAAAATTATTTATTAAAACCTTGAATATCTTGATAGGAGATAGCAGGAAGAGTGTATGTTAGACAGTTAAAGAAGGATTAACCAATACAGTTAAGACACTACAGGTGCTCCCGAATTTCACTGTACTCAGAACACATGGTGCTGTTATTTCAGCACTAACTTTTATTTTACCTTTCCGCCATTTTTTTCTTTTAAATTTGGTTTAATGGTAAAAGAGTCTCCTTTTTGGTCAGAAAACTCTAAAATACTCTAACACATGCTGTTAGAACTCACAGCCATGCTCTGTGCTCCTGAGGAATCTTGGCTCCTGGGACCTTCCTGCCACTGTCACCATTGTGCATAGTGGTGATTTCTCAGGTCTCCCAAGTGCTACAAAAGTCGGTAGGCAACATCACAGAGAGGCTTCTAACATACCATCTATTCTAACACTTTACTTATTATCATGCCCCAAAGGCTTTAGATTGTGGGCTACATGATGACCCTGAAGCTACACAGTCCTTAATGTCACCTGTCCGTGTTACAACTCTCTCCAGAGACTCCCCTGTCAAGCTGGGGAAATAAATGTCAGTCTTTACCTCCTTTTATTTTCTCTACCTTATTAATGAGACAACGTTGAAACTTCTTGGACAAAAATGTGCATGTGGCTTAGAGATTGAGGCAGTTGTATGTCTCCACAATTCAAATCTATGTCTTTATTTGATGTCTTTCTGGGAGGCCAAATGCCAGGTATGATGTAGTGCACATTGAGGAGGGTTCCCTTCTCAAAGAATTCCTGAAATCCCAAAGAATAAGAAAAAAAATTAATTCAATAAAAATGAAGTAAATGTTTTAGTAGATTTAAATTATTGTAAATATGATTTGTCTGTTTTAATTCATTTTCTTTTCAGATTTTGTCTAATTTTCTTCCTAGTATTGCTGTTTTTTTTCACCTTAAGAAAATTTTTGATTTGCATTATTAGACCTTTCTTACAAAATCCGAAACTCTCCTTTGAAAGTCATAATTATTATTTTTAAAATCATGTCCAAAGATTCTAGACCTTCACTTTGGGACATAGTCATCCAAAAAGAGTTTTTGCATCAATTACATTGAGATTTAATATAGGAATCGCACTTTTATCTTCATAGACAAACCCATCCTTTAGATTCCTAAAATCCCATCATTTTATAACAGTTTTACCATGAAAAAGTGTAGACCAAAATTACTTAAAAATCCACGCTAATTCTAAATAAGTAAAATAATAAAACAAAACCCAGAACCAAGGCCCTCTGAGCACAGAATAGACTAGCGCCAGTGCTGCTCGTGGTGAAGCAGGTGTCTTGTGGAAAGGAGGTGCCACACGCTGACTTTCTTGCTCCCATCTTCCCATCCTCTGGTTTAGATGAACTATTTGTCCTCAGTTCCTAAAACTGAAAGAAATTCTTTTTAATGCCTGGGAAGTGTGCCCATCCCTGGATCACAGCTTGTTTCTCTGCTTTCTTGTTTCGTGTTATACTTATTCTTTCATGGCAGTTAGCAAATTTAGTAGGATTAAATGCATAACGGAACCAGGATACGACGAGATGAAATTTGGAGGCATGACGTGCAGACGTTTATACCTGGTGCAGCCCTCTGTTGTCTTTAAATGACATTTCACATACCAGCCTCTCCTCCAGAACCTCGAAGGAGAGAGAAATGCCTGCCAAGCTTTCTCCTCAGAAATTTAGTCATGACCCACTTCTAGGGCTCTCAGTCTTCAAGGAAGCCTTACTCATTTAAGTCAGTTTTACTCTTGTGTTACTTTTTAGATTCATTCTCATATCTGCTATAACTTTGGATCTTTTTTGACAATTTTTTAGGATTCTTCCTACCTGTTATCATTGCTTTGTCTTCATTGATTAAAAAATCTCTCAGAAGCCACAAACTTGTGCGGTTTTTCCCTTGTATTGGTTTTTGTTTCTGTTTGCCCCTCAGTAAAATGTCAAGCTCTTCTATTTATATTTTTAAAATTCCAAAAGGTCATTCTCCAAAAGAAGGACAAAGAAAACCTTGAATTTTCCACTTAGAATCACATATTTCTGTCTATTCTCAGTCTGAAAATGCTTCCCTTGAAGCTCTCAGATTCATCAGGCGAGCTGGTATATATATTCTCAATTTCCCTACAGGATTCCCTTGTTAGTATTGATGGTGCATGTGGGTCTGGTTTTCTACAGTTTGTACCCCCGTTCCTATTGGCATTTTCTGGCTCTTGCTCATAGCTTTGCTGCTCCTGCCTCCCTTCCTTCCTTTCCCTCACACCTCTTTTGCCCTCTGACTCTTCTGGTAGACTCTTCTTTCAAATGCTCATTTCTCTCCTCTGGGCCCTCCCAATACTTAACCATTTCTAAAAATAACTTCAGGGTCTCCACAACTACATCGATAATAATTGCCAAAGTTTTGCATGATAGGATCCAACATTCTGGTATTTTTGCTTCATTCTTCTTTTAAGAATTATCATAAGGATAATCACCTTAAAGCAAATCACCTTCTTGACCTTGTGAGGCTTTTCTTTATTTTTCATATCTTTTAAAATGCAATAGCATACACTTGCATAGCATTAAATCATGCCTCTGGTCATCGTCATGTAAAAAATCACCTTTTAGAAAACAGTTGTTTTTAATACCATTACTAGAAAAATATTTTATGGAGTATTTTC